ACATCACATTTGACACTTCAACAACAATCTAACCAGCAGAAGTAGCAATGCAACCAGACAGAAAATGAGCACCAAAATGGTCCCTTAGCTGCCTCTGATGCTGCTACTTAATTTCTCTTCAGACTCCCTCTCTTCCCTTCTGGTGCTCATCTGTAATCACACTGACTGACATGAGGATATGTTTGCTCTCAACAGTTCTTTGCATCATGAAATAAATTCATCTGTATCAGAACTATTATTAAAAACCACCAGAAATTACAGTGATTCTTGCTTGTCTCTGAAACTCTACAGTGACAGTCTCCAAACCCATGTTTAAAAAGGGGGGAAGGGGACAAGAAGATTTGATTCTCAGTAGAACTAAAGCCGCATACTGCCCTTCCGCTCATGTCAGACTATGACTCTCCAACCTTGACTTTCACCTTTTTGAAAATTACATGAAAATCAAAATTTGTCATTAATTGCTAATAAGAGCTTCAGAAAAGGAACCCACAAAATCTGTCTTTTACATACCTATGCAATATGTGTCTCAATATTACACTTATTAGAAATATGACAGTTTCTTAAATAAATATATGCACATAATCTGAAGACATTTCATCTACGACGCACTCTGAATAATGAGTAAACCATTCCAAGAATAGATGCACCCATAGTAGCCACACCAATATAACTGTCTGTGAGCTGCTCTTATTTAGGCATTTAATCCATTTCTCCAAAACATTAAGGCAATAAACACAACTTCAGAAAGGAAGAATTATACCTTCATTTGACCCAATTCCAAATTCCTGCATACAATGGATATGAACAAACAACCCTAATTTCTCAAAATCTTTATATGGCAACGACTGTGAAGTGTACAGAACTTTTATTGCAGAAAATATTTTCCAACTTAAATGTTATACAGAGAATAGCTCTATGTAACTTCAAGCCAGCCTTACAGAGATTACTCATCAGTTTTACTTTGTCTCTAAACTATATTGGCAATATAAAATGTGGACCTCTCATGTTTTTTTTTTAAATTTAAGAATAGAGTATGAATGTCACACATAAACAGGCAATGAAATCTGGAAACCTGTGTTTTTTTTTTTTCTCCTTAAATTGAACTCTTTGAAATAGAGACCGTGAAACATTGTCTCTGTTTTCAAAGATATTGAACAGAGAAAAGATAGAAAATGTATTTTCCTGGGGCACCTGGGTGGCTCAGTTGGTTAAGAATCTGACTCTAGATCAGTTCATGATCTTGCGGTTCATCACCTGGAGCCTCACATTGGGCTCTGTACTGACAGCTCAGCACCTGGAGGCTGCTTTGGATTCTGTGTCTCCCTCTTTTTCTGCCCCTTCACCCTCATGCTCTGTCTTTCTCTGTCTCAAAAATAAACACTAATTTTTTTTAATAAACTGTATTTTCCTACTTAAATAAAAGTTCCTGTTAAGTGAACATGACAATGGCCTACTACCCAGAATAAGTATAATGCATTTGTGTTGAATAACAATTCTGTAAATATATTCAATCATTTTGATAAATGAATAAAATATATAAATCAGCTTAACAGCTGAATATATCATGGCTATTATGACACACTTTCTGAAGCATTCTGAATATATAATGTTAGTATATTCTACTTTAGTTGTTAAATTCCTGGAAAATCAGCATATTCTCCATGAATAGTGCCTTAACAACTCTGCCCAAAACATATTCACTATTTAATCTTCCATATGAACTCTGCCAGTAATTAGTAATCACACACTGAGTGTCTATTATGTGGTAAGTATCAGAAATATATTCATATATGTCATATATGTGATTTGTATGACTGTGCCTTCAAGGAGAAATACAGTATACAGACAGGCAAACGTACAAACACATAAATTATAATGTAGGCCATGAGAAAAGAATAAACAAATGTCACAGATAAAAGAATAATTCAGCAAGCATTCTGCTTGGGAAGTCTGTGAAAGCATCTCAAAAAGAAGCAATTTTTGAACTCAGTCTTATGGGAGAAACATAGTTCATCAGGAAGGTAAAATCTGAAAAGAGAATGTCTTTCAGGTACAAAGAATAAAGCTGTGTCATTCGAGGTCACCTGGTATGTTTCTGAACCTGTATGAAAAACTTGGCATGACAAGAATACCGGGTCCATGGCCAGATGTGGCAGAAGAGAATACCAAAGCCATAGTTTGGTGCTACTCTATACAGAATTTTATGCTAAGCCAAAGGGTTTTAGACTAAATCCTGTCAGAAACAAGGACACACATTAGTTTCCAAAGTGGGATAAATAATCCAACTCATTTCTCAGGGAAACACGTCCAGTGAATATTGAAAGAAAAACCAGAGAGAAGCTAAAACTCTGAGATCATATGACAGACTTTTCCACAGACTTGTCTACTCAAGAGATGAAAAGCTGATGGAATCAAGAAACATTTGAGGCAGGAACAAATTTACAAACTAGTTAGACGTAAAGTAAAAGAATCAATGTTCATGTCACTAAAACTAAGTTAAACCACTTGTATCCGGAGATCAGCTTGTGAATCTGATGAAACCTATGATCTTACTCACATGTATGCATAATACAGAATTGTCCACTCCTTTTCAGGAGATCCCATAGGCCCTGGCTAAGAACTGCTACTCTAGATGAAGTAGTTTGGGGAAAAGAGTTGTGTTTTATTTAAATCTATTTCCATAGTGCCCAACAACAACAACAAACTTGGTACAAAGTAGGCGATTCATAGTTTGTATCCAGTTGAACTGAATTCTCCATTAAAAACTGAATGGTTTCCTTTTCACTAACATCCTGCATCACAGCATCCTCTCATGCCAACTTCAGAATGTAACTTAATATACTTTTCTTATATCCATCCTTGAATAAACTTAAAATAATCTCCCCTTTACTTTGTGATGTTCTTCTGGTTGTAACTATTTATATCCACTCCTTCAAATTTGTGTGTTTATGTTTAGAGTAATATCACAAGGCAAAAAACCAAGAAGCACTCCTTGAGAGAACGCAATGGTCAAAATATTGAGAGAGGAAAGCTATTAGCAGAGATGCAAGGCCAAATACAGGGTATGATCTCCTTACCCTGTTGAACTGTGTACTACCATTTTCTCCTTTCCTTTTCCTAATTTAACCTTTTTGAGAGGAGACCAAAAAGTTGTATCATTGCACATAACTAATACAAACTCACAATAGAGAAAGAAGGTAGGGATATGGATAGTATGATTTAGCTTGCCAAATAAGAGATAATCAGATAACAAAATATGCATGTGCTCTTGTGAGGAGCTTGTAATGTTTATAAGCATGGACTCCAAAGCCAGAATGTCTGGGTAAACAACCCTGGTTCTCCTGCATATCAATAGTGATCTAATCAAGTTATTTAACCCCTATGTGCCTCGGTTTCCTCATTTGTAAAATGACACCAAAAATAACACCCACTGTATTACTGTGAAGGTCAAATGAGTTAATATGATAATGTGATTAAAATACCACATCTATATAAGTGTTACATAGTGTTAGCGGAAATACTATCCTTGAGGGGAAAATCTTGGCACATAGTCACATACCCAGTGCAATTCTGACCTGTAAGGCTTAAAATGTTGAAAGAGGTATTTAAATCTGATGTGAGTATCAAAGAACAGCATCCATTTCACAGTTATTAGGAGATATCTGATTCTTCTTGTTGATTTAATTCTATATATGGTAATTTAGTAACATAAATAAGTTGGCGTATTTCAGTTCCAAGCACATTTGTGATATATAATAATTTTCTAGAGAAAGCAAAAAAAAAAAAAAAGATTTCACAGAATCAACCTTGTCTTTATAAGTATGAGACTGTCTGAGGAAACATAATTTTGTTGGTGTAATCTGGTTCATATTAATGGCCCCACCATCCTTGAAGTAGAAGAGGAGAAGGTCACAAAACCCATCTACCCAAGCAGTCATGTTGAAAAGGTGAGGGTGGTTTTGTTGGCAGCTAAGTGCCCTGCTACCTTACCAATATGCTGATTGTGTATTTAAGTTCCTAAGAAGGACCTAAAAGCCTTACGTGTGTGTGTGTATGTGTGTGTGTGTGTGTGTGTGTGTATGTGTGCACGTGCTTATATGTTTCAGCCAAAGATGCTAAGCCACTTTTCTTCCCTCTCGTCCATGAAACCAGTTTCCTAATCTTCCGCAATGAGCCAGACCCCAGGACAAGGGGCCAGATATGTTATCCTGAGTTGCAAATTCAGGAATAGGATGCACCAGGGAATTACCGAATTATCAAAACAGTGTGAAAGAGACTGAGTTAGAAATTATTGCAGTCGCATTAAAAAACTGTAGTTTCTATAAAATATATTCTTCTATAATATTCCCAGTACCATAAGGAATACTGGAATCCAATCTGGGCAAAGCAAAGAATTGAAAAACATTGATTTATCATGGTGGAGATGTTCAAAATATGATGTAACTCTATCCAGAAAAACCTTTTTTTATTATTTATTTTTTGAGAGACAGAGAGAGACAGAGCATGAGTGGAGGAGGGGCAGAGAGGGAGTCACATAATCCAAAGCAGGTTCCAGGCTCTGAGCTGTCAGCACAGAGCTGGATGCGGGGCTCGAACTCACGAACCGTGAGATCATGACCTGAGCTGAAATCAGGCGCTTAACTCACTGAGTCACCCAGGCACCCCCAGAAAAACCTTTAATAGAAATACTGTGACATCTCACTTTCATGCTAACTTTAAATGTGCTATTTTAACATTATTCTTATATGTATGTTTTTTTCTTCTAATTAACTTGTAAGTGTCTCAACAGCAAAATTCTTGAAAAACAGGGGGAAAAAAGCATCTTCTACTTCCTACTGGAATCTATTTACTTATAAAGAATTCTAAGAGGTTAGGAATGAATCTTGTGTATGGCTGTTAAGTGGATGATAATTCTAAAGCAAAAGACTGAAGCCAAACTTATCAGAGGAGCAAACTGGTCAAAAAGTGAGTGTAGGCACAAGAGACCATGAGCAACCTACCATTGTATTGTGCTGAGAGGTGGGGGTCCTATGGCCACAAGTCTCTTGCGTCAGCAGAGAAACTGGCTGAAATTCCTCAGAGTGAGGCTTGTTGGGAAAACTCACATGCAAGGGAAGGTGAAAGGCTGGGAGCCCGTCACTCTCCTCTTCTTCCACTTTCTGTCTGCTTGTCACCATGGCTACCTCTCCATCTGCTTCCCCATACGGAGAGGCTGGTCGCTTGGAAGACATCCTGGAAGGAACAAAAGAGGAGAAAATAATGAAACCTCCACATAAATCCTTAATGCCGTCATTGTGTGGTTAGGGGCCATTGTAACAGAAATGCCTTTTTGTGCTGGCAGAGAGCAGGAAACCATCCAAATACCACTGCAAAGCGCACACAATCAGAAACAATGGCCAAGCAGGTAGCAACAGAACAGTGCTTGTTTGTTGTGAGAATAATACACTAATATAGCACTCTCTTGTATTCTGGCTTCTTAAACAAGAGAATTCACCTAAGAACACTGCATAAGGAAAGACCATTCCATTTTAAAGGGGGAAAAAAAAAGCAAAACATACCCATCTAGTTTTACACTTTGATAGACCTCATTGAAGACAGAACATCTATGAATAACAAATACTGTCGGCAGCTAAAAGAGGGAAAAGAACTAAAATTTCTTTCATCAAAAAATAAACAAAATAAGTGAATGGTGGCCATTATAACAAATTTGCATTTTATTAAAAGTAAGATTATTATGACATGTAGAAATAAATATTAGTTATAAGCAAACCTCAGACTTCATGACAAAAAGTTTGATATTTGCTTAAAGCTTATTAAGAATTGAATAAATTTTACAATTGCCGTTAATCTTGAAACATTTGAGGATTTTTCTTCCCTCGCCTCCCCATTTATTTCTAACATCACATATGCAAAGTGGTAAAAAAAGTGAAAATATAAAAATATTTCAATTTTCATTTCCACAATGCTATCAAAGGTTCAGAGGTAGATTCTAGACTTATTTGCTCTTTAGAATACCTAAGTAAGAGAGGGAAATCAAATAAAGATGTTTGGTTTTGATGAGCTAATGCCTATAAGAAAATTCACTTAGACAATTAAAAATTAAACACTTTTGTTTTGTATTTGAGTCTAAGAACACTACTAGAGCTTAAAATATGTGGCAATTACTCTTAAGCAGATAGTTCCTTTCTTTTCACTACAAGAGTTATATAGAAGTAGTATAGAGTTAAAATTTCTAGTTAAAGAAAAGAACTCTTGTATTTACAACTTGATCTGACCTTGAGAAAGTTGTTATTTTGCTTAACAAAGAGTGTTACCTAATCATCCATTCTTATTCTAGACCAGGCAGGAAAGTCTTAGCTGCCACACTGCTTCTTTCATATATAACCCTGATTTTTAAATTTAAAATTTACTGTGAAAAAGATGCTCCTAATCATTGCTGAATAATACTATTCTTAGTGTTAAAAGTTTCAAAGGAATACAGTATTCGAGTACTGCAGATACTCTACTAAGAATAATAGCACAGTTAAAAAAAAAAAAAGTCCCTGGAATCAGACAAACATGAATTAAAATAATGATTCTACTACTTGCTAGCTGTGAGACTTACCTTGAATCTATATCAATTTACTCATCTTTAACTCTTGAATCTATCTCAATTTACTCATCTTTAAAATGAGATGTAAATATTTTCTGGTAATGCTTTTTGAGACTAAACTGTGTAGTGTATGCAAAATGACTTGTAGAGCATTCAGCACTAAGTAGACACTCAATAAACCATGGATACTATTTACTTTAAAACTTTAGGGGCGCCTGGGTGGCTCCGTAAGTGAATCATCTGACTTCGGCTCAGGTCATGATCTCATAGTTCGTGGGTTCAAGCCCCGTATTGGGCTCTGTACTGACAGCTCAGAGCCTGAAGCTTGCTTCGGATTCTTCTCTGTTCCTCCCCTGCTCACACTCAGTCTTTCCCAACCTCTCAAAAAGAAATAAACGTTAAAAAACTAAAAAAAAATTATAGCTACAGTGTAACCTATACGTCCTCTCCTCAAAAAACCAAAAACCCAACACCAAATCTCTCCAAGATGAAGAAAGCACCTTGCTTTCCAGGAGGTAAAGCAGGAAATCAATAAGAAATATGAAATCTCCTCATAGAGAAATGCTCCCTGGCCAATCATACCTAGCAACAAACTGATCAAACGTATTTGCAATCGTAAAGAAGAAATACTAATAGCAGAAGTCTTGATCAGCTGAATAACAGAGAGAAAGGAAGAAATGGCGGCTACCAAGTAAGCACTATCTAGAGGAGAAGTAGACTGGGCCACCACATTACAGGTGTCTTTAGCTATTTCTAATCTCATTACTATACTTTCCTCCACATATACTCTACGCGTGGAGGGAGGAAGCAATGGTCTAGAGGTGGAATGGTCCTAGTCTCATTGGCAACACCACGTCTATCACCAACTTGAAATACTAAAGTATATGTAATAACTCTAAACACTAGAGATACTAACTTCCACTGTTCTGCTTCTATGCTCTCCAAGCAAACTTCCAATTGCCGTGTAGAGAATGAGCTGACAAGAAGAGATTTAAAATACTTAAGGTCTTTGTGAAGCGATTTATCAGAGTAAATCAATAAAAGGACTTTTAATTATTTCTTGTTTTACACATAGTTTGACTCTAAGGGGACCCTGCATTTATTATACAAGCCATAGTATTTATGGTCTGTGTAGCCATTATCACTGTTGGTGAAATTAATAAATTGGTATTCTGGTGTCTACCTCAGTCATGTGTACAATAAGTCTCTTAACTGTCCAAAAACTCCAGGCTGTTGGCAAAAGCTAGTCTCCGGGTTATCAAAGTAGAAAGCTAGATCAGCTGGCCTTTCCTAAGTTAATACAATTCTATGACCTTCAGAAGGCATGACTTTTTTGCTGATCTCTACTTTCTGTATAGCATTATTAGTGATTATGAAAATTGAAAGTCCAAAAGTAGACATAAGGTAAATATGGTAAATAGTTAAGACACTGCTACTCTTCTCAAAACATCTTGTCATTTCAGTATCTAAATTATCTTTATGTACCACTGGATAAACAGTCTCTCTTTCTATATATATCATTCTACGGAGCAAAAGCATAAGGTCTCAAACACTAAACACGAAGGAGTCATGATGCCAGAAGGCAAATGATTCTAAACAATTATATATTTTATGCTTATTTCAATTCCATTTTCAGACACTTACAGAATGTTCTTAATGTGCTCAAGATGAGAATCTTTTCATACAGTTCAGGTAAAAGATTTCTTAAAGATTAAAAAAAAATATGGTGACAAAAATGCCATAGTTCAAAAATAGGCTATTAAGTCAGAAAAAAAGCAAATACTTAAATTATAGAGAGAGCTATCGATCTGCCTACATTCATGTTTTGCCTGACTCATAGTACTTCTAAAAATATTGATCACAAATCACCAATAGTGTTAGATTCTTAAATTTTTGTTCATCTACCAAACAGTTTCATTCTGGAGAGAAGAAAGTCTCATTAATTTAAAAAAAAAAAAAAGTACTTTCAATGTTATGTTATTGTTTATTCTGGTCTCCACTTTATTTCTGATTTTCTTTGCTAGGGATTTCCTTCCTCACTAAATTTCATCTAAGTTTCTTCTTTTTCTAGTTCCTTGTGGTGTAATTTTGTTTATTGGAAACGTTTTCTTAACACAAGCATTTATGGCATAAATTTCACTCTAACATCTGCTTTTGCTGCATCTATAGGTTTTTGAATATTGCATTTTCCTTTTCTTTGGTTGTGAGACATAGTCTGATTAGCTGTTAAAAAAATGTCTTACTTATTGTAAAATTATCTACCGTTGGAATTGTTAAGCTTTCTGTCAATGTTTACTTCATGTATGTTGAACTTGTGTTTTACCCATGCATATTAACAATGATTATATCTTCTTGATAAAAAGCAAATAATAAAGGAAGATACATAATAAGAAAAGAAGTCATGTCACTTTCCACGCATTTGTTATCTGGGATACGTAGGGCTCCAATTCGTGTGACTGCTTATGTGGCATGACTGTGTTACACATAAGTGTTGCAGCGCATGGACATTTTGGAACCATCTGAAGAGCTAGGCTGAAGCATGTTCTTATGTATTGATCCTGAGATGACTTTTGTCATTCCTGTGGTAGGTGCTAGACTTGCCAATGAATAAAATGCAGACTTCAAAGAAAACTACATGAGACAGACAAATATAATCCAGTGTGAAACTAACCCATGGAGGTAATAATGATATAATAGAATCTTTAACTTGGTTTTGTGTACAGACAAGAAAATCTTTTTTAAAAGAACTGGTGTCTAATTTTAGGGCAAAAGGGGATCCTCAAATCAACACCATTTACTGACTGCTTACTATGTGCAAGACACTTATCTAATGGGAATTAAAATGTGTAATTTAAGGTCTCTGCTTTAAAAGGTTTATTCATTGGTTGAGAAGATTTGGAGAAATAATAATGAAAGACAGTTCAGGTTAAGGGCCAAATGATACTACATCTAAATACCTGAGGGTTTCACGAGGCCCAGAGGATCCTGGAGTACTTAGAGGAATGGTTGACCAACCGAGTTTTGGGGGGAAAAGAAGGTCAAATGGGAAGTCTGGGATAAACAGCGTGGGAATTTCATGAAGGAAGTAATGATACAAGCAAAGATGCAGGGATACTTTCAGAAAGTACAGTGTAAATTTAAGTCTCAAGATTACTGGGGAAAAAAGGACACTGAGGAATATGGACTAAATCCTGTCTTTAGACTATAACATTCCTGGAGTTGCTGAGTTACATGCATGGAATAGATAGAAAACAGCTTCCCTTCTAAAGGGCAACTTGCTTTCACATGAAGTCACTTTTCCTTTACTTGTCTTTGTAACACAATCTGCACAATCAGGCCACTCTAGTCCATGTGAAAGTGATTTTAAAACTACTGGAGTCCTTTACTATTGGCTAAAGGCTCTCTGGGTGCACTGTAATCACTCTGTAAGTAGGATGTCCCCAACAGTACTCAAACAAGCACAGCAAACTTAAGGATAGGGAACAGGGTACGAGATTGCAACATAAACTAAACCATTGGTTCTCAACGTTGGCTGCAAACTAGTATTAAATACTGCTGCCTGAGTCCCACTGCCAGGCATTCTAATGTTATTGGTTCTGGTGTGGAGGTGGAGTATCCGAATTTTTTAAATTTGGTGATT